TTTTTTTACTGTGCCTGCACTTCAAACTTAGAAGCATCATTCAACCTTTGGAATGATCTTATCTAGATTTTGGAGTTCGAACACTGGAACATTCAAACTTAGGAATGTCTGAAGTTCGAGGCAAAACTGTAGCCTTTCACACATTTAACTGAAATTGACATGGTCACAAATCCAGCAATACTCGTGCATGTATGAACCTACTCCTAAGATCTGAGGGACTAAATGTTCTGTAACTTCTAACATCAGATTTCTGCAACATCATTAGAAATACTCATACATCTCAATTAAAGAGGAGTTCACAGCAAGGTATATCATTCAGGTTCCTCTGTGTTGTTAGAGAACCTGAAGATAGAGATCCCAAGATTGCCTGGGAAGAGGGATTGACTATGGTTTGGATAAATGCATAGGATAAATACAGCCCAAGATATTCAGTGCACTTAACCAACATAGCATGGAATGGTCCCATTTTTAGCCTCCCCACCCACCTCCAATGGGTTTACAATAAAACTTAAATGTTAAATAAGTAAAGGAAAGGCTGTTTGGACAGATTTGTGTTTGGTTGTAGAAATCAATGCATGCCTCAAACCTTCTGCCCCTCTATTAAAGGCAAGCTGCAACTGCTAAAGTTCATTCTAGCAAGTTCTGATAAACCAAGTACTTAAAAAGTTGGCTCGTATGACCAAAAATTTAAGGGTGTGTACCCCTTTTGCAGAACGGTACAAATCCCACCTCTTTCCCAACAACTGGGTGGGAAACAGCCCTTGCTTCAGTTATTATAGCTTTCAGCTTCAAACACTTTGAAATTAGAAATTACAACACAATGGCAATGGCAATTTCATATTATGTGAGGAACAGTGATTGCTCCAGCATGAGGTCTGCCACTTGGAGCTGTCATTCCTGGAGAAATGCCAACAGCTCTTAGAATCCTGCAACGTCTCTGAATCCCAGGACTGGGAATGGAACAATACGCAGCACTGTGGCTAAGAAGCACCAGACTGGGTCTGACCATGGCTGCCTCTGGTTCAGCATCCTTTTCACACAACGGCCAACCAGCTGCCCATGGAACACCCCCAAGCGGCACATGACTGCAAGAGCACCTGCCCAGTTCTCTTCCCCAGCAAATGGTGTGCACTGACACACTACCAAAGATCCTGGCCATCATGAGTAGTAGCCAAGGTAGCCTTAACCTCCTTGAATTGCCAATCCCCTTTTGAAGCCACCCAAGCTGGTGGCCACTACTATGTTTTGTGGCAGAAAATTCCAGAGTTCGGCTATGCCCTGCGTGAAGACAAAGAAAACTCAAGACGCAAAGGAAAATGTAGCTGCCACACTGAGACAATCCCACACCTTGTTTGCCACACACGCGCGCACACACACGCGCGTGTGCTCACGCACATGCACACACAGAGTTCCTGTGACTGTAGACACTGCTTGCTTGCTTGTTTGTTTTTCTGCAAATCACTGGCTGTTTATTTTGTCTGTTTTTGACATACCAGCTGGTAAGTTGTTGATAAAATCAGAAGGCTAGACCAGAATGAAAGGTGCAGCAATTATTTTACAACACTGGCGAGACCTAGACTGGCTTAACTTTAGCAAATTTGCTACACCATCTTCAGAACATGTCAGTCAGTTGCCATTTAAACTACAACTTGATGTAACAACTGAAATATTTTCCCTCCTCACAAAACCTGCATACATCCTGCTACTGTTCAAAGATGACAATATTTTTAAACAGCCATTTATGTTCACATAGCAAAAGACAGAAATGCGGTCCATGGCTAGCAATTTCTCATTCAGTCTCCTGTCCAGAAACTACAGTGCAAGAAATAACAATAGCCGGAGAACAGAAATGAGTTGTACCAGTTGTTTCCAAAATGATTTTCTTTCAGGAAACCCCTTCCACATCAAACTGCTGAGGAGCTCCCACCATACTGTGGAGCAGGGATGTGGAGCCTCAAACTAGGGACCAAATCTGGCCTTCTATGGTCCCAGTTCACCTCTCTCAGGTTCTCCAGAAAGCCAGGGCCCCACCCCCTTTTCCCCAATCACAGATTCTTTGGAAGTTTCTCGGGTTTTCTGCAGCTTTCTCAGGTTTTCTGCAGCTTTCTCCCCATTGAAAAACCTCTAGTAGTTGAAAAACCTCTAGTAGGACTCAGTTACTGGCAGTAAATATGTTATGTTATACTATGCCCTGCCCCTTTGCCTACAGCTTGCCTACCACTGGACTGTGGTTGCTGAAATAGAGTTTGGCCTCAGGAGTAAAAGAAACTCTGCACCCTTTCAGTAGAGGCTTCCGGGGGTAAGCCAAGGTGCGGGAGCAACCTTCACAGTATGTTGGCCAGGTCCACCTCGCCTCTTTCTTGCCACTTAGCAACTGGGAGTGCATCCGAAGCCCACCCAAAACTCCCCTGTGATCATGCCATATCAGGGAATGTTAGAATTGCTAGGAAAGCTGCCTTCTAGGGAACCTAGCCCACCGTTCTAAAATTTTCACTGAACTTTTTCACTGATAAACTTTCCCAAGAGTTCCCCAGGACCTATTTGAGAGCAACTGATTTAGGCCACAGCAATTTTAACATGTTACAGCATTACATGGCTCCTGTATACAAGCTGTAAACCTGGGAACAGACACTGTAAGCATTTTCCAACAATATAGTTCTATGATTAAAGCAAAGGTTTCCTTAGGGTTGCGACATATCCTGCATTGTGAAATAGGAGCAATTTGTTAGAGTGACAAAATGAAAACAGCTTACCTAATCCTTTTGAAAGATCTTATTAAAAAAAGAATATGGCATGCATTTAGAAAGACATAAAAATCTCACCTTCAAACATTTAAAAATAAGCATGTAAAATAAGATTTATATTACATATATATGCGAATAAGGCAAGCACCATGAAAGAGATTCAGGAAAATCACACACATTCTGCTGTGCATTTAACTGCACCAAGTGATTTCTTGGTGAGAGAAATGCAAATCACAAGTTAATCCCTGCTTGTTGCCTTTTGTGCTTGAAACAATTCATGAGTCAATTAAAATGAAATTCGACTTCTCTATATTTCACTCTACCTGTTCCTTTACACCAAGGTAGCACAAGAATCTTCTTTACAAAAATATAAAAAGATAAGCTAAACAAAAGTGAAGTGCTGATGAGCTTGATCGTAATTTCAAATAACCAAATCCTAATATGGACTATAGCAATATTCCCTCTTTCTTGTAGCTCATACGCACAGGCGCAGCTGAGTAAAAAGATTGCAACCACTGCCGTGATATGGATGCGCTCCATTGGGGTAGAACCACTGGACAGAAAATCTCAGGTTAGGGCTCATAAAGCAGCAGCTCCCAGGGCCTAGAAAGCAACCAGAATGGGCAGCCCTGAGCATCTTGGATCCCTGAGCAGGACAAGGGCCCTGGCAATTCATGAGACAGGCCAGGCAAGCAGAACAGTCCAAAAACTGCAGGGGATGAGCTGAATTTCTACATTTCTGTGAAAGTGGACGCATTCCAACAGGGTGGAACTATTAGATGGAAAATCTCAGGGTCAGCTTAAGAAAGTGGTGCTCCTTCGCAGCTCTTAGGGCCTGGAAAACAACCAGACTAGGCAACCTAACTGGGCTAGTGCAAGGAGTGCTATATCTTGGCAGAACCTGTGGAAATTCCAACTGGCTGCTAGGGGTGTGGTGAAAGTTCGGGTTAGGGGTGGGAAATCCTGGATCCCTGGGCATGTGCAGGGCCCTGACAATTCATGAAACAGGCCAGGCAGGGAGATCCATCAAAATTGGCAAGTGGTGAACAGCATTTCTACACTTGAATACATTCGGATGGGGTGGACCTACTGGATGAAAAAGCTCAGATCAGGGTTTAGGGTTTGGGGTAACCCTCGGGGCTCCCTCTGCAGCTCTTGGGGTCTAGGAAACAACTGGATTGTATGGCAAAACCAACCCATCGTGAAGACAACCCTAAATGCCACACCTTGGCAGCAGGAAATTCTAATTGGCTGCTAGGGTGCAGTGCAGCTTCAGGTAAGGGTTCGGAATTGGCAATCTTGGATCCTTGCACATGTTCAGGGCCTTGGAAATTAATGCAATTAGCAGGAATGTTGAATGGTCAAGGAGCACAGCTGGAGAGATGCACCCCTGTACTTGTGAATGTGGATCTACTGCAATAGAGTAGAACCACTGGAGGGAAAATCTTGGACCAGGGTCACAGTTAAGGGAACAAGGCTCCACGTGCAACTCTGCAGGCAAACTGAGTGCTGCAAACTTAGCAGCCTCTGAGTGGCAGGTGGTACAGGCAGGTGGTACAGGCAAGTGATACAGTCTGGCTCAACCAGACTGCAGATGCCAACCTCCACAGGAGCAGATGCTGTTTCCAGCAGCATCTTAATTTCCTTCTCTTCTGCTTCTTCTTCCTCCTTTTAAATAATATCAGGGGCCAGCTGGACAGGCATTTCCATGGTTACAGATGTCCATTTTATTTTACCTTAAGAAATAAAAGTATTTTCTGGAACAAAATAGTGCTTGTTTCTATGCAGCTGGCTTCATACCAGCAGAGCATCCCCACAGTTATGATGGTGCTGTGATCACAGCAAGTGTAAAATGCAAACCAGCAAATGCACAAGAGTATGCATTTTTTAAACATGGTTTTAAACATGTGGGGACTTGGGGGTGTTGCTCTAAGATCACAAATGTGAAAGCTGATGCAAAGTATGGAATAGTGTGGGGAGGAAAAGAGCTATTAGTTGTGTACATCCTCAGAAGGAAAACAGGTAGCTGTTTGAAGGGAGGAGTTGCAACGAGACCATTAAATCCAGGTTCTAGCTTAATCACTGTTCATCCTGCACAGGCAGATTCTAGGATAGGGGAATAGGGAGGCCAAATTCACGTCTTGTCGAGAAGCCAAGCAGAACAGGCATTTCAGTAAGAGACTGATATATGAAAGGAGATGAGCTGTTTGTACCTGTTCAGAACTTTTTTAGGCTAAAGATTAAGCAAAGACTTACCCTGTGCCTTCATTTGCTTGAGCTGATCTTTAAAAATGACATATTTCACATTTCTTTGCAGATCAAGGTTATTGTTTCTGCTTTCCAAAGCTTCAAACTTCTCTTCAACCACATTTTTTAAATCTGGTAGCGTATCCGGCTTGTCTTGCTTCATCTGCAAAAAACCCAAAGAAACAAACCAACAAAAAATGTGACCTTGCTAGATGCCTGACCACCCCATTCTTTTTAGCCCACTGCAAAGAAGAAAAGCCAGATAATGTGGCAGTAAATTTATGAGACTTTCTCAAATACCCCTCTCTTATCAAAGAGCTAAAAATTCTGGAACTGTAAGCGGATAGAAATTGTTAGGTATACATGCTGCAGTTTTCATTAAAGTCTGATCGCTGCACTTTGTCACTGCCTTGTGCCTGATTAGAATAGAAAATTCAGAAAAGGCAGCAGTAAAAAACAAACTATGCAGGAGCAGCATTAACACTGAAGAAACATGTGAATGTTAAGGCTATCGAAGAAGAAACAGAAGCAGCGCACTGAAAAACGCCACCAGGAATGACGCCTCTTTGGCAGGTCTTTACCAAACTGGCCTCCTCAAAGCGCACAGCCATGCCATGGAAAGGGTGCGAGTGGACCTCCAACAATTGAGCTACCTCATTACATAAATGCACAGCTCTATATTGTGTGGACCATTTTGAGAGCATTCTGCTAAGCAAAGCGTATATGAATGCGATGGATGGATGGATGGATATGTTCCTTGGAGAATAGAGACTCCATAACACCCTCTCTCTGCTATCTTAAAAGCATCACCTTTGTCCAGAAAGCATTTTTCCATCCCTGAACCCACAAATGAAAAGATGGCATGCCAGGAGGAAATCTTAAGATGAATGTCCTGGTGATGTAAGGGTGCCAGTCCCTCATTCCATGAATGGATCAAAGGCATGCATGTGCAGCAATTTGAGTGCAAGACCGACAGACGCACGCTTCTCTGGAAAGTGCATTCCAGAGTTCATGCAGTGAGCTGTCCAGGCCTTTGGAACCTGCTGGGAACCCTGAGTGTTCTGTGAGCGTGAACTAGAACAAGATTCCACTACCTTGTCACCTCCAGATGTGTTAGAGTGCAACTCCCATCAATGGTTCAGAGTTATGGGATTTGTAGTGAAACACATCTGGAGAGGACCAAGTTCAGGAAGGCTAATCTAGAGTTCATGGGCAATACATATCAAACTTTCTCATGGGGACTGATGAGCTTGCTAATATTTTCATGAACAGCCTGTATTTACGAATAAACTGCTGTAAAGTCTATTAATTTTTTAAAATTACTGTGGAAAATTGTCATCACAGAGAGAAAGGAAGCAAAGGAGTAGAGAGGGAGGCCTCCAAAGCAGGCCTTCCTGCCTCACCCATCTGGAGAAGGAAAACCAACTGGCATTTCCTTGCTGCAAAGAGGAGGCATTTGTGGGTTGAGATATTCACGGTTTCCCCACTTTCACGGGGTCCTGCATCCCTAACTCCTTCGAATGTGGAGGGCCGACTATATGGGATCTGACTTACATACAAATTCGACTTAAAGGTGAATTTCCGATTTCTCAGGAACGGAACTCTTTCATAACTCAGGGGCTGCTTTTATACATGTCAACCCTAAAGGTTTTTAAAAACATGTTTAGCAATATGTCATACGAATGCTCATCATTCTTCCTCATTTTTAGTTGTTTCTATATACTTTGCAGTAGCACAAATTGAATGACACATTATAATTACAGATATTTTAGATTTATATCAAATAAACAGAATGTTATTTATTTGTATTTTTGTAGCCCCTGAAGAAGGAAATCTACATGTCTGAAACACCTGGGGAAAAAAATAAACCTTTGCTTGTTTTCTCCCATTGCTTTCTCCTTCCCACATGTGCCTTCCCCTCTTGTTCGATCATCGATCTGCAGCAGCCAAGCGCTTACCTGTGGCTGCACACTTCATGGGAAGATTAGCAAGGACTTATGACCTTTATGAGAAACCTTGCCTACATTACCAAACTTCTTCAGGAATCTGTATTAAGTGTCTTTGGAAGTCTAAAGTTTTGTGAAACTGTGAAAAACAGTGCTCTAAAGCACCATACAAACATTTCAAGGTTTTCTTGGAGCTGTACGAGGACCTGAGGAACCCACCACACATGACTCAAGTTTCCTCTACTGCCTTCCCCAGTGAGCATCTGCAGTTCACCCCACCTCTGCAAACGTTCGCATTAAAACAATCACATGTATGGGATTATACAAACCAGAGGCTTCTTTAACTGGACAACAGCCCTAGTGAGCATCAACCAGATATCACTTCTCAAAATGTATTGAAGAGGAACTGCAGAGATATTAAGATGCGCATTATTTTAGGTGTAGACAAATGCATACAGATTGCTGTTGCTGTTGTTAGTTGCGAAGTCGTGTCCGACCCATTGCGACCCCACGGACAACATTCTTCCAGGCCTTCCTGTCCTCCACCATCCCCCAAAGTCCACTTAAGCTCACATCGACTGCTTCAGTGACTCCATCCAGCCACCTCATCCTTTGCTGTCCCCTTCTTCTTTTGCCATCTATTGTTCCCAGCATTAGGCTCTTCTCCAGGGAGTCCTTCCTTCTCATTAGGTGGCCAGAGTATTTGAGTTTCATCTTCAGGATCTGGCCTTCTAAAGAGCAGTCAGGGTTGATCTCCTCTAGGACTGACCGCTTTGATCGCCTTGCGGTCCAGGGGACTCGCAGGAGTCTCCTCCAGCACCACAATTCAAAGGCCTCAATCCTTTGGCACTCAGCCTTCCTTATGGTCCAGCTTTCACAGCCATATATTGCAACTGGGAAAACCATAGCCTTGACTATACGTACTTTTGTTGGCAGGGTGATGTCTCTGCTTTTTAGGCATACAGATAATTAGCAGCTAATGATTTCTGCAAGAATGATGGTACTTTTGCCAATAATTCCCCTCCAGTCAAGGAAGCAGCCATGATCCGAGGCACCTTCCAAAGTCGCTCCAAACAGCAGCTGCAGAAAGCTTTCGTGTTTCCACACAGCAAAGGTGGATTATTCCACTGGAATACTGCAAAGGTATTAAGGAATGCTCCAACAGGAAGCATACTTATAAGCATTTCGGCCTATATCAGCATGCAAGGTTCTGGATCCTAGTGAGGAGGTGTGGGGTCAGGGAGCAAGACAGGCAAAGTTGCCTGGACCTCTTTTGCAGCCATGCTAATGAATTTGTAGAAAAATGGCACAGCAATGAAAAACAAGGAAACCAAAGCTATCATAACCTTGCTGGAACTCAGTGAAAGCAGGAACCATAGAATCCGCTGGAATCTGCAATATCATGATCATAATTACTGAGCTCCCTTACAGGATTAGTGTGAGATACCCAAGAACAATGTATATTAAACACTTTGAACATTTAGTATTAAACTTAGGTTGTATCCAAGGGTGGCTTTAGAAGCAGTCTCTAGCAATGCTTTCTCAAGAGTGGGTAACAGCGAAACATCTTTTGGAGAAGCTTAGATGTTATTTTTAATTGTCTTCTCTTTGATAAAACCCAGATATCCTTCTAAGAAAACCCAGGGTCCTTGCATTATATAAACTGTTTTAAGAACTCAGTGCTGAAAAATGGTGTCTACATATTTAAACTAAACAGGTGAGACCTGCAACAACATTTTGTGGTATGTCATCTCCTAGCGGGAATGACCGTGTTCATGGTCCTTGCCATCCACGTTTGCTTCCAGGATGGTCAGGATGGTATAAGAGGCTCCCCCAAGCCCAACACACGCACAGTTTCCCTCTTTTCTATCCCAACTAACAAACAGCATTCATTGTGAGAGTCAGTGTGGTGTAGTGGTTAAGAGCCATGGAGCCAACTGGGTGACTTTGGGCTAATCACAGACTCTCAGCCCAACCTACCTCACAGGGTTGTTGTTGTGGGGATAAGACTTGAAAGCAGCAGGAGGAAAACAGTGTAAGCCACTTTGGGTTTTTTAAGGCAGGATATAAATCTAATAAATAAACAAACAAAAAACCACAGGAAATCACTTGTCTAGTTTGCCCCATTGGTTTTGTATGGTTTCTTTTCACTGTACTTCTGCAAAGCTAGGAATTCCCCTGGTTATGTACAGCCCTAACTGTTGTCTCTTGCTGAACCCATTTGGGCTGCAATCCTGTTGGCATTCGCTATCTGAGCTCGCTATCAGATGGACGAAAAAATAATACCAGTCTCATCAATGAATGGCTTGTTCACTCAGTATTGGCAATGAAAATATTTTCCATGCTCAAAAAATGTATTTTAATTAGCTTTGCTTCTGAAAGATTCACACATGCAAATAAAAACTCAGCTATATACTACTAATTCAAGGCCAGTTTATATAGGCATGTTTCTTCCTGACAAGTTAGAACCATTAAATTGAGATCCATAAAAACTGACATTCTATCTTTCTTATGCTTTGGAAAATTTGTAAAAATCTGCCAAGGATGTTAAGTATGGCATCTACCATAGTTTGTGGAAGTTCTCGGCATAAGTGACTTCTGCACAGAATTGTGGTGAATGCAACCGTATTAAGAACCACTGACAGAGGAGAGAGATTGACTGAAGCAAAACAGGTTAGTGGGAGTATGGAACACAAAGCAGAAGAAAGAATGTCTAGAAAGGGAACTCTAGAGAGAAAAGAATGAAATAATTCAAAAGATCAGGGGGCAGCAAACTGTCAGCAGCTTTCAAATAAATTTAGAGAATGCCAGAAGGATAAAGAGGAACAGCTGTTCATGATTTCTATAAAAGAGAGAAAAACAGCTTTAGATTTTAAGAAGGCAGCTTTAGAACCAACCTATGTGTTTCAGGATATTGCATGGTACAATACTTCTAGGCCTTTGCTAGTTCAGGATACAGGTGGGAAAATCACACAGGGGACAGGCGATTGGAATGACATCTTGCCAAAAAAGAAGGGAACCTTCAAATATATAACTGCAGCTCCCCTTGTTATTTTGGGATGACAATATCAATCAGTATTTCTGACTCTGTAAGCTTAGTTTTTCAGTTTGATCAGTAAGAAAACTATCTGAAGAAGAAGGATAATTCAATTAGGGAGAAAGTTGTCTAGGAAGATTAAGATCTTTTGGAAAAGAACAGCTTTTGGCTTGGTTCCCC